TTACAGATGTAGACCAACGATTTGAAGGAAGTCCTGCTGTTGCAACATACGAATCACCAACATTTTCAGGCCATTGCTAAAGAGTTATCTCTATAGTGATGATAACGGGCGTCTACACGACCCCGGGGGGCTACGTTATATTTTTTACAATTCTGCTTGTTGTTCCTGTTTTATTTCTGCAGAATAAAAGAATAAAGGCATGACGCCCCGAGTCATCGGATCGTCATGAGGGGGAGAGTGGTCCACATGCTGTTAACTGTAAAAAAAATCATTCTGGGACATTATGTTCCGTTGTGCCACTGACAAGTTCTCCTCAAATGCATTCATTCCGAATAGTAAAAAAGACTACATTGTGGAGGATACATAGGTCAGATACTAGTGTCCTGGAGATGAATTCCATGGGCGTCTCCTATTCTCCAAAGAATATTCATTCTAGAGGCGTCACCGGACTTCATCCAAGCTGATCAAGAGGATCTTCTAGAAAGGCAAGGACTACATGCAAGATACTGAAGATCCCTCAACCCCCGGCATCAAAGATCAAATTGCCAAGAAGACATCAAAGGGGAGATTGCAAGGACTTCTTCAGAAAGTCTTCCTCAGAAGTCATGTTCAAAGACATAGGAAGGTGAATAACAACAAAGACAAAGATATCTGCGCTGCAATGCTGATTCAACACGATTGAACACCAAGGGGGAGATTGTTAGGAATATTTTATGGTGTCCAATCTAATTAAATATCTTTGTATTTGTGTAGTTATTAATTAAACGTGTAATACGGACCACAAATGTGTATCAGCCCGTTAGCTTCCTTGTAACCCGTAAGTTAGCCAACTTCTCCTATAAAAGGAGGCTAACGTACGGGAACCCTAACTAACATTTGAGGCTTTAGAGAATAGAGGCACAGAGATAGAGAGATTAGGGTTTGCCGATGCTCTCCTTCTCCAGGGAGAGCAGTGGCCAGTTTACACGGTATACCAAAGGTGTTGTTTATCTTGATATCTTTCTATCTGCTTCTTTATACCTGTTATGATTGTTCGATTGTTAAGTTTTGGGTTTATCAGGTATTAAACAATTTTAGAGCTATATGTTGAATCCTTTTTTTATTGTATTGCTTTGGATTTGACACTTCAGTCTTTTGTCTGTATTCAAATGTGATGCTAATTCTTCTTTGCCTGCAATGTTAAAAAATTATGTTTTGTAGTTAGCACACTGAAGTCTCTTGCTTTTGATATTTCAGAGTAGCAAGCCAATATTCAAATGGCATATCAAGATCATCACCACCATGACCATGGCCATCATCATCATCACTACAGCCATGAGGATTCAGGAGCAACAACATGGGTTAGCCCATATACTCACCTGGGTACTTCAGTAGAAGAGCACCTCCTCTAACTAACATGAATTTCAATGAGAGAGCCTTTACTGTAGGGATTGGTGGCCCTGTTGCAATTGGGAAAACTGCTTAGATCCTTGAATTGTGCAAAGTATTGAGGGTCAAATACAGCCCAGCAGCAGTGACTAATGACATATTAAGGAGAATGGGTATTTCTTAATAGAACATGGAGCACTTTCAGAGGAAAGGATTTGTGCAGTTGAAATAGGTGGCTGCCCACATGCTGCAATTAGAGAATTCATAAGCATTAACCTTAGACCTCTAGAAGAGCTTTCAAACTTATATAAATCTGATATTCAGCTGTGTGAATCTGGTGGAGGCAATCTAGCTGCCAACTTTAGCCGGGAGTTGGCTAACTATATCATCTACATAATCGATGTGCCCGCAGGCCATAAAATACCATGCTGCAATTGTCTCTTGCCATTTTCATCTCTACCAACACAAAAGCTATTTGTATCCCCATCTTTTAAATTCACCTTCTTCTACTTTTATACAACTCTGTGCCTACTAGATCGATTGTTGGGTCTGCTCTAACTTTGTTGTAGGCTCACTTATAGTGGTTAACTTTGAGTTTTGCTTATAGAAATTTCAAATCACCTTCTTCTTTTTCTTCTTCTTCGGAGTTTTTTGTTTTGTGCACTATGTGCCCGTCATCATCAGCAACGACATAGAGCTTCCTTAAGAAGACATAAGGGGTGTTTGGAACTGATTTCGCTTCTGTTTCTTTTTTAAAGCAGAAACAAAATAAGTTTTCAGAAGCTGGTCTCCCCAGCTTCTAAAAAACTGATTCTAGGAGTAAATTAGAGCACCAGAATCACTTTGGCGTTTTCACCCAAGCACTTCAACTTCTGCTTCTGCTCCATGAAGGAGCGGAAGCACCTGTAAGAATCAGATCCAAATACCCCCATAATCAATTGTTCGGAGTTTTGTGTTTTTGTCAAAACGAAAGATGCTCTCAAAGAGATTTTTTTATTGAACTTCATTCGCAGTGTTCGGAGAGACCGAGAGAGTAGACTAAGATATGGACGAATCTCAGAGGTTGAGAATCTCTTCGAGTATCATTACCCTTCAAAGGGAGATGATGCCGCCCAGATGATCTGGCAAGAAATCGCCCAGAAGTTATCGTCTATTAAATTGAAGGTACATAGAGCCACGAGGTATTTCCAACTCCTGTTCTTGAGGATAGGGGATGTAAATTTGCTCCTTTTTGGGGACCTTGAAATATATAGATCAGAGAGGTTAAAAAGGAAAGAAATTTGATTGTCAGGCGAGTTCTTGGTATATTGGTCAAGGATGATTGATCTTTAATGCATTCATTCATTTGCTTAAAAAACAGAATAGAACTATATCCGACGATGCTCTTCTTTTAACAAAATGGTCTGCTCATTACATACTGCTCACTATCCTTACATCTTTCTAATATATATTTAACCGTTATGAGCAATTACAGTCACTTTTTTCTTACACCTATGATTTATTCATGGTTACTATAATTGTTTCACAGGTGAAATGCAATTTCAGATGCCATTGAAATTTGAAAACACAAATCTTGAAAAATAGTATACTTGGACCCTTCTAAATCTTGGAAAACCAAACTTCATGTGAAATCACATGTTTCTGATGTAGGTAATGTTTATGATCAATTAAGTATCCTATTTTTTTAAATCATACTTTTGGTTTTTGCTATCATTTAAGTTAATAAATTCCTCAGTGTTTTTAAATATGCATTGCAAAGGTCATTTGGGTTTATGAAAAATTTAACATTTTGGATCATGAATTATTTTGTTTGCATTGGCGGTAATATGTGCCACATATTAAGCACAACTCGCACGTAGTGCGTACACCGCTAGTATACATACATACATACATACATACATACATACATACATACATACATACATACATACATACATACATACATACAAACAAACAAACATACATACATACATACATACATACATACATACATACATACATACATACATACATACATACATACATGCATGCATACATACATGCATGCATACATACATACATACATGCATACATACATACATGCATACATACATCCATGCATACATACATCCATGCATACATACATGCATACATGCATCCATACATACATGCATGCATGCATGCATACATGCATGCACCCATACATGCACCCATACATGCACACATACATGCACACATACATGCACACATACATGCACACATACACACATACACACACAAACATACATACATACACACACATACATACATGCACACATACATGCACACATACATTCACACATACATGCACACATGCACACACACATACATACATACATACACACACACACATACATACATACACACACACATACATACATACACATACATACATACATACATACATACATACATACATACATACATACATACATACATACATACATACATACATACATACTTTATATAAAAAATTATCTTTGAACCATGATCATATATTTTTTATGTCACAAATGTAAATTTATGATGTTAATAAGTACATAATTTAAAATATTTTAGCTTTCATAAGGATACAATTAACATTCTAAACATCCAATATGAAATGAATAACATTACCCTGATCTATATAGTTCAAACGCTTTTAATTTACTAGCTGTCATCACATGACTTTCATTATTATCATATTTAATTAAATTTTACATTATCCATACACTCTACTTTGATTTTATTTTATTCATTGATGTATTACACATTTTTTTGTAAACCATTATAAAATTGGTCCTGTACTAAAATTTTAAAATATCATTTTAAACTCCGTGATTTTTACTAATAGTCAATGTTAATAATTAAAGTTGTGTACATGCAAATATCGAATTAAAAGTGTAGCTATTATATACTACGTAGTATGTATTTATAAACCGAGACAATATTAGTTATTTTACAAATAGAAGTTAATTGCAAAATGTGGTTAAATTATTTATTTAATACCATAAATTTACGTTTGTGAAAAAATATTATATGATCATAGTGCTAACATAATTTTTATATAAAATTCGGGATATTTATATTACATATACAAGTTTGGAGATGTTTATATCAGATATTTGAATCTTTTTTCCCTTTTTATTTGTTTCTATCAGATAATTAATAAGTAGAAATTAGTCAAATGAACCTCACTCATTTAATTTAAAACCATTCTTGGTCTACACAAATTTGTACACATTTGACATACTCTCTTGTTTACACTAACAATTGTTGCTTTTTTAAACGAGTTGTCTGTTTACACATGTAACTAGATAACTAGAGGGTGAACACATTTTGTGTACTCCGTATATTCTATGCTCAATTTTGTACTTAAACAATTTTTGTTTTTTTCTAGACGAGATTTCTGATTATAAAAAAATTATCACAAGTGGGTACAAATTATGTACGGAATATTTCTTTAATTTATTACTCTCCCGTCCCCTTATAATTGTCTCATTTTTCCATTTTTGGATGTCCTTTTATTATTCTCACATACCATATTTGATAACATTTGTGTGGTTCTAATTCATTCATACTTTATTTCTACTTTCTCAACTCGTCAGGAACCACCTAATTCTATTTTTGTTTGAGGGATGAGTAGTTAGTTTCATCTTTGAGGGGAAAGTGACTCGCTCCATAATCAATCTGCAGGCCTTCAGCCATTTCTTTTGAAATGGAATTGGCGTTGCATAGGTTTACGTAGGATAGTTGTTTGTGGAAAATGGTGAAGGAACTCGGTGGCGGAGCACAGAACCTCCCGGCGGATGTGACTCAATTGATCGATCAACTCGAGCGCCACTGCTTAGCTCCCGATGGCTCTCTCATCTCCAAATCCACCCACTACGATCTTCAACTTGTACTCTCTCTCTCTCCATATCTTTAAAGTTTAACCGCTTCATTCTCTTTAGAATTCGAAAAACTTTTTTACTTCATTCATTTACTTTAACGGTACGGTGATGCAGGCGAGGGATGAGATGACGAAAGAGAGACAGCGCTACTTGGAAGCGTTGGTATGCAATCCATGACTATTAGCAACTTTTTAAATTCTTGCTGGAATTAAGGTTGCGAGTTGACGTTGTATCTTGCTGCAACTTTTTTAAATCCATGATCTTTTAATGGATTAAAAACGCAGGCAATTTACATTGAAGCAGTTGGGATGGTGGAAGAGTATCAGCAAGCTCTTTCTGTGGCCAACATTGGTGGAATCCGAGATGTTCAGGGTCACTACCCTCAAATTGGGTTGAAAACCTCTCCTCAGGTTTCTTGTTTCTGTACTCTTACTAACTAGATTGCCGGAATCACAAATTCCATATTGCTGTTTAATGAGTAAAAGTTAGTCCTGCTCTTACACGGCAACCAAATTGTAGAATCATTCATTCTGAAAAAGTGCGTGTGATGCTTGCCAATCTTTTAAAATCTCATTATTTCACTTTTCAGGGAGCACATCCATGTAAAAACATTTAAAAAATGTGATTTTTGTTCATAGTATCACTAAAGAAACAAACTTTTATGCTTACATTTCAGAAGACCAGATATGCTTAAAGCGGGAAGGTCATGTAGCATGAAACATCGACTCTGTTTATTTTGCATGATTTTATACAATTAAATACGGAGTAACATATAATACAATAGGTTTAATACTGCCCACCCAATTAGTTGAGATTAAGGTACTGATAATGATGATGGATATGCTTAAATTAAAAGCAACAAACAATTTCTTTATGGTGTTGACAAAATGCATATTAGGTTTATGAGGCTCTTGAGCATCGGATGGCGGTGGCAGAAGCTGCTCAAAGACTGAGGCTACCTCTGATTTCCAAAGATGGTGAGGTTCAAGATGACGAAATTGACAAGTGGAGTACACTCTCAAGAAGTTCCCTAGACAGCACAGGCACCAGTGTCACAATCAGCTCAAATTCGACTAATTTCACAGCTGCTGCTGGAATTACTGTTCCATCTACTGATGCTTCAGAACCTTCCATTGGTGGTGTTCCTAATCAGTACCTAGGAATAACACCTACCTATTTGTGGCAGGCTCAACTCCTGCAGTCACCATTATGCATGGTTTGTCTCGATTTTGTTGGATGTGATTGTGGAATTGACGAATTTCTATATTGAACCACGAAGTGTCTGTGTTGTATTGCTTTGTGTAGACATTATGGTATTGCTATACCACAAATGTCCAATCACTGTGTTGATTTTTTTATTAATCTTATATTGTAGGACACGACAGAATATCAGATATTGCTTTCACGTGAGATTGGAAGTCGGTTAGATGCTAAATGTGATAAGTTAGCAGATGTTATTGCCATACACGACATTGGTCAGTCAGCTTTCAAAGCTTCCTTTTACACTTTTATGTTATTTCTCCTAGATTTTGCCTGATTTGAATGTTCACTTTGAACATTGAATCAATGATCTGTTGTATAGATGCTACTTACTCATTCACGGATCCTAAAAAATCTATCTACTGCACACCGCTCTCTTTTACCATCCATTCTTGCTTGGTTTTAATGCTAATGGTTTGGGTGTAAAGCAAAATATTTTTTAATGTATAAATTTAGACATTATCAGTGTTTCAGATGTATGCTATCGCAAATCAATTCTGACTTGGGCCCATTTCACCAATCCTGAACATGTTTGACTCCACAGATACATCCATCAGTAATCAAGTACCAACTGCTCGCCTCCCAGAGAGGTCTCTTCTCCCTCTCAAGTAGATCCGAAACCCTATATTTTATCCTTCACAAACTCAAGTATGCATTAAGTAGATGATAAATCCGTCAACCTAACACTTCTCAATTAGGTATGCTAGCAAAGATGTAGTACTTACATATTATACATGCATATAAAAAAACTGTTCATTTTCTCTTTTCAGGATGTACAATATATGAAATGAAGGGATTTAACTCAGAATATATTGCTTAAAGAGTATTTTCAACTAAAAAATGTATATGACTTTTTAACCTTTGATTTCAATTTCAATCTTTCACATATAAAGTGTAGATGGAACTTTATATCGTAAAGAGTGTTATACCTACCATACCTTCGATTTTAAGCTCAAGTACTTCAGCATATAGTTAAAACTTGTCACTCTAGCATGTGCGGTTTACTTTTTCTATATTGTTTTATCAGAGATTAAGTGAAAATGTCTATAGAATCCCATTATAAAGATTCTCAGAGGAGTAATTTAATATAAAACATTTAGACACTCAACTTAAAAAATTCATGGTTTTATACCTTGCTCTAACATGTTGTCTAAAATTCTAACTTAACATCTGAACAGGGTAAAGGTGATAATTGAAGAGATTGAGAGAGAAGAAGCAACCTTGCGTGAAGATTTATACTCATCAGACAGAAAATTTGCAGAATATTACAACGTAAGAACTTTCCTGTATCCATGCTATATTTTCTATTTTACTCTTTGTGATATCTGGACTGAAACCTGACTTATATAACCTATCATTTGGTTCAAGGTTTTGGAGCAGATACTTGGAGTTCTTATCAAGCTCGTCAAGGATATAAAGTTGCAACATCAGCATAAATATGTGAGTTTAGTAATGTGCTATTTATTGTTTTCAATTGTTAAAGACAATTAGTCCTTCTGTCCCAAATAATATGTTGCAATCACTTTTGGCATGGAGTTTTAGGGAACACATGCTTTTATATTAGGGTTTCCTTATATAACCATGTTTATGTGGTTTGGTACTTTGGTGTTAGTAATGTAAGGGTAAAAGGTTCATTTGGTAGTTAATTTGTTTCAATTTTTTTCGTGGGATAATGCAAATGGTATGAATAAAAAAAGAAGCAGGGACACTATCTTATGCACGGATTACAAGTTATCTGCATTAACATAATCTTGAAGGCTTACTACTAACTCGATCCAATTCAGTCTCATCAGGCCTTTTACTATCTGCCTTACGTTTGATTTTTCCATTGTCCTATTTATTAATAGGATGAGCTGCAAAAGACTTGGCTGAGTAAAAGATGTGATACAATGAGTGCAAAGTTGAGGTGAGATATACCTATTGCTAATTTGTGGTTGCTGATCAACCCATTTCATGCACTTGTGTGAAATGGCTATTTATATGCCTTTAGTGGGTGGTATAGAACTGCTGAAGGATGCTAGCTTTCTTGTTGTCCTTTTAGGGTTTTAGAGCACATTCTTCTGCTTGAGACATATACACCAGACACAATCCCAGCTCTCCATAAGATAAGGTAAAGAGAGAGAGAAACAAGACATTTTCCATTATACTGCTGGTGTACTGAATTTATCTTCATGTTTTCCTTTTTGACCCGTCCCAAATTAGACTTCTTGTTTCCTTTTATGAAATAAATGTTACTACGTATTATTTGACTCACCTTAACCAAACTTTCATTTTCATTTCAAACCACACTTAATATTTAATAAGAATGCCAAGACAAAACCAGAAGACAGTTTCAGGACGGATTGAGTAATTATCAGTATACACTTTTGCTGACAAACTGTGCTGCTGAGTGATTATATCTTTCGTCTCTCAGGAAATATTTGGTAGAGTCAACAGAAGAAGCTTCACTTGCATATAATAAAGCGGTATGTATATCTTTCTCTTTCTGATTCCATGTTCTTAAAGAGCTTAAATTCCAAATAAAAACTGAGTCATTATTTGAAATTTGAAATAAAGGTCACTCGCCTCCGTGAGTACCAGGGTGTAGATCCCCACTTTGACATGATTGCCAGACAATACCATGACATTGTCAAGGTAAGTGTTTTTTTCGTTTTCATATTTTGAATACAAGTCCGTCTCCCTTTTCTATTCCTTAGCCATCTTTAAATAAATAAGCTCACATCTGATTTTGAATGCAGAAATTGGAAAATTTGCGTTGGACTATACAGCAAGTAGAAATGGACTTGACGCGTTTGCCTGCTCCGCATCCCGTGGGTACTTAGAGTGTGGAGTTTCTCAAAGCGTTTCTTACTTGATCATAATGTCTCTTAAGTGTGGAGTTTACAATGTCACCCTTGGTCACCATCTTACTATTAACTCAACCAGCCACTCAAGTTTTTTTCAGGTACTTTCTTTCTAAGCAGAGAGAACAAAGCTGACCGCCCACCATCACTGTCCTTTTAAGGTGATTGCTGCTATAAATACCTACCGCCATGTCAAGTCCAACAGATTGAAAACTGTGCTCAAGTAAAAAATGTTAAGGTTAAGTTACAACTGTTTTTTAGAGAAAGTTACAATTGTTTAGGTACCGATAAAACACTGTTTTTTATCGTAATTTAATTAGTTTCAAATTTTAAGGGGAGTGCACTGGTTACAGTGTTGTTATATCACTTGTATGACTGACGGGTCATGGGTTCAAGTCTTGGGGAAAGCTGGTCTCTTACACACCTTTATGGTGGGACCCTTCCTGAACACTCGTTTTGTGGGAATGATAAGGTGCACCGAACTACCCCTTTTTTAATTAGTTTCACTTCCAAAACAATATCGATTTGGTCGTGCCGGAGTAATTGGATCAACAACTGTGTCATGTCATTTAGATTTTTTTAGTAAAAGTGAATTCTAAGGAGATTTGTTTTTGACATTTTTAGTGCGACTAAAAATGACAGAAGTATGGCTTTTGAATGCATTTAGTCGGATATTTTCACTTGAGCTCGCATTTTCTAGTTTTAGTCCGATCTAGTATGTTATTATGCAAGTTTTATTATTGATCAGGTTTGATTTTTTTATATGAAAGAATTGCTCAAGTCTGAATGGCCCCTAGGCCGACATTCAGTCATTCAACCATTTTTATCATGCACTAAAAAAATATAAAAACTAGCTTCCATAATTAATGATTTCATGCCGTAAATGATAAAACAATGGGAGCTTCCATTAAACAACTCAATAACATAAACGGTCAACAAAAGTTAAAATTTCAGTCAACTAAGCAAGGAGTCAAAATGCAAACAGAAATTTAGAACAAGTTAAGAGGCAACACAACTTCTTCATAGTTTAATAGGAAGTACAAAATCAATGGACAGAAAATCAATGCCCAGATTTGTTTCTTCTGAATCGGATTCAAAGTCATCATCATATACCTCTCTCGGTCTGGCACTCCTTCGTTGTTGTGGTATTTCATTTCCTTGAGATGTTTCTTCAACAATATGGACAATATCTTCATCAATTTCACTCTCACTAACCAACCACCCTTGTGCATTCCTAGCATCACTTGCTAGCAAATCAATATAGTCATCCATATCCTTTTTCCTTTTTTTGAGTAACTTTGCATTGAATTGGACATACACCAAACTATTCAGACAATTGACATCTAACCTATTCCTTTTCTTCTTATGAATCTAGCCATGTAATTAGAAAACATTGTCAAACAAGTGCTGACATGAATAAAGTAGGGATATTTTAAGCCAAAAAATCAAATCAGAACTCCAAAGGTGAAGTCCACAAGTGTTGAAATGAAAAAAAGTACTTAAAGAACTAACCCCTTCAAAGGTGCTCCAGTTTCTCTCACAACCGGATGAACTACTTGTCAAACAGAGAATATGTATAGCTAATATTTGCAAATTTGGCACATGATGTCCATAAGCTGTCCACTAATTTGTTGGGAAGAAAAGATGATTCTTAAATATATATAAAAAAGTTCTAGGGTAAAACTAGCAACATATCTTGCTCAATGTCCAGACTTACACAGATTTCAACCGATGTACTAAACAGATTTATACAGTTTTTTATTACAAACAGAAGTGAGAATTCATATTAAAATGCAGAAAACATACACACTAAAGCATTCCAGCAATGTTCTCTAATTCTAACAAATGATAAAAATTCTAACTAGTGATAAAAATGCAAATTAGTAGTCTAGTAGCGATAAAAATGCATTCAAATCAAATATAACTAGTGAGATGTGCCAATCTCAATTGTCAGTTAAAATAAAACAATAACTAGTATCATAGTATTACACTATTACATGAATAAGGAAATCATGATAAACAATCATACCTGGATCAAACTTGTCGTCATTTTGCTCACACCCTTTTGTTGTTAATGCTCTCCCAAATTTGTCAAGCACTTAACTTACACAATTTCAAACACTGAGTTTCTTACATTTACTTCTTAATTTCTATCAATCATTCACAATTCCACACACATTCATATGTATAGGCTTCCATGTTTGTACATATGTAAACAATAAACCATAGTTCAAATTTGCTAAAAAGCTGAAAGTTTTGAAGAAAAAGAATAAAGAGTGAAGAGATTACCTGTGAAAAGTGTTGGCTGGTGTGATTGGTGCTTGGCGGTGGAGAGGTTGAAGCTTCAAGCAGGCTGATGGGAAGTCATTAGTTGAGGCTAGAGAGTAGACATATTGAGAGGAAAGTGAAGTTGGGAGAGACAGGAGGAAATAAGTCTCTCAAGCGAATGAAAATCTGAAAAATAAAGTGGGCGGGCGGTCGCTGAATTTTAAAAAGGGAAATTTACTATTAACCCCTTGAGGTTATGTCATAATTACTAATGCAACCTTGCATTTTCAAAAATCCATTACTTACCCCCTAAGTTTCGACCATTCTCACTATATACCCCCTTACATTAATATTTGTAAAATTAAATTTAATATACCTTTCCTAAATTCAATGAAACTTGTATTTAAAATTAATTTTTAAAATATAAAACAATTTATCATCATAATTATTAGTCATTGTTGATGATCATTTGTTTTCTACTTAACTACTCGATCGTGGATAACAGTTAATGAGAGTAGTTAAGAGGAAGACTCACGAGTCATATTAATAGGATACATAAAAAGAATTGTTTGTAAAACGTGTTATCAAAATTCTAGGCACTTCTTCATTATGAATATACAAGTCTTATTTTGTAATTTATTCAGTTGAATTAATCGCAATGACATTTCTTTCGTGTGTAGCAAAGAAGAGAAATACCAAGATTTTTTATCATTCCATGACCTAAAATATAGGTTTAGTATCAATAAGGGTCCTAAAAGGCAAAATGTGTGATGAATATTCCAATTACTCTATGATCTGAATAATTGAAAGCTATCAATCTAAGACCTAAAATATCACAGTTTTTAATTTTTTTAAATTTTTTTATTAACTACGATCAACAAAAATGACTTATAATTATGATACTAATTTGTGTTTTACATAAAAAAGTAATTTTATAGACATTTTACATTGAATTTAAGAATTATATTAAATTTAAATTTAACAAATATTAACGTGAGGGGGCAAAGAACGAGAATGATCCAAACTCAGGGGGTAAGTAATTGATTTTTGAAAATACAAGGTTGCATTAATAATCATGACATAACTTCAGGGGGTTAATAGTAAATTTCCCTTTTAAAAACTAAAACCTATGACCGACTTTCTTAAATCGTGGACTGATGTATACATCGCCCAATTAGTTGGGCTAGGCGCCCAAAAAGTCGGATACCCGACTTTTACACCCGATTTGAGTGAAACCCCGCGCCACACGACCGACTAGTGACTAAGCGGCCGCCTAGCCCGATTTTTAGAACATTGATTTAAGTATGAGATAATGTTTAGTATTTATGTAAATGGATTTTCAAATAGTAATATTTATGTAACCTTTTCATTAAATTTTTCATTATTTCTATCGTTAAACTAGTACATAAGAAACGTATTATATGCCAGATTTTTAAATTGTAGAACATTTGAAACATGTATGTATCTTTAACCGTTTCAAGAACATCCAAGTTTGTTGAATATGCTAAAAAGAGACCGTCTAGTGTACATTTTCGTCCCCACACGACAAAAATAAGTAAAAGGATCTCACTACAATCGTGTATATGGAACAAGCCTTCCTTTTCAATTTTATAAGAGATTAGTCTCAAGATTTGAATGTGGTGGGTACATCAAAATTCTCATTCATAAAATATTTATAAAAAAACTAATTCAATGCGAAACCTAACGTAATTTTGAGTATAATGCATAATATATGATGCGAGATAAATGTTCATATATATTGCATAAAAGTTTATCAATGAGTCGAAAAATATGATTACCAAAAATGACCCTAATATTTTTCTTATTTATGGATCCCAAATAAAAACACAATCAGTTTGGCGGGCAAATTGGCAACTGTCTTCTTTATTTCGTTCGTCGCGTTTCTGGCTTTGGGGTCGGGAAGTCGATCAAATCGACGATGTCGGAATTACCAGAAGTGAATTCGCTATTCGCTGCCCTCGCATCGAAGCTCCAAGAGGGCGAAGCTACGGCTGAAGATGACGATCGAAACCTTGATAATGCCGTTCGTAATTTCAACATGTGGCTCAACCTTTCCGAAACCAACCCTAAAGTCCAGGTTTTGGACACTGCACTCTCTCTTATGTGCTTCACCGCTCCGCAGGTGAGCATCTTCTCTACAAACATTTTAACTTGGAGATTCTGTTATTGTCCTGATTGTCTGATATAGTATGTTTTGGATTGCGTTAGGTCTTCAATTCGATGATTGAGTTCATGGTGAGAACAATTGTTACGGTTCTTTCTTCATCAGTTGAATGCGAGGTTGTAAAGTGGGGCAATGAGGAAAGTATACAGGTCTGCCGGTCGATTTTTGGTCTGGATTGTGTTGGAACAGTTGAAACCTGCTCTGATATTTTTCAAAAACTTGAAGCATCAAGAGGTCTTCATTGGACCTATTTTCTCGAAAACTATAACTAATTGATTACTAAAGCTCGTTTGTTGACAGATACATTATAATATACTTCGCATATAAGCTTGCTTGTATGTGGACTATATGGTGAGACAGTTATATCTTTTATGATTCCTCCATATATGTGGCAGGAGATCTTTCTCCTTTACTGCTTTATGCTGTTGTAAGAGCTGCAGCTTTGGCACCAAAGTGTCATTATTCAGAGAAAATGATTAAGGTGAAAGCTAGGGGGAGATGTAACCCTGCTTTTGCGAAGTTGCTTTGCCATTCATCTAGGGACTGCATCCTCAAGAGTGGAGAAATTCCATTAAGGTATATTGTTTCAGGTTCTGCATGTGCATTTTGTTACTTTTTATTGTTTCATGTGGGCCTTGCATTTCACGAGTATAAGGTTTAACCCTGTTTCTGTGAGGAAATACCGTTCAAGAGTGTGCACAAGTGAATACTAGGAAACCACTGGGATGTTTGTTTAGTATACTTACTCCGTATTATATTAGGTGTTACTATAGGTTTTTCACAGAGATTGAATATGTTAAGATAAGATCATCGTATTTCTCTATAAGAAATAGTGAGTGTAATAATCCACAACAGATCATGGATTTCAAGTCAGAGCTTGCTTTCTACTGCGGGGTTTCATATGAAGTTTGACCATAATACTCCCTATAATTTGGAATCGATAAGGACTTGATTGAATCAAGGATCCATGAATATCAATAGGTCCTAGTATTGGTTCGAGTTGACTCTAAGCATACTAAAAGTGTCCGTTTTTCTATATCCTATTTACTTTGATAGCTTCTCTTCTCTGTGTTGTTTCTATATAAATAGACTATTTCTATTTAATTAAAAAAGAAGAAAGAAAAATAAAATGAAAAAGTTCTAGGACTGAAGGATTCAGATGGGATCAAAACCCATTGGCTTACCACTTGGCGACCTCTCACTTTTACCGATATCAAATCTATTCTTGGGTGTAGGAGAGAGAAGATGAAAAGGTATGAAAGAGAATATGAAAACGTATGAAAAAAGGCGAAAAAGTAAGATAAAAGTTGCCAAAAATGGAAATGGCACAAGTAATAAATACTTTCCACAAAGAAATAAGTAACAAGTAATAAAACATAAATGAAGTGTTAATATTAGATTGAGTGAAAAGACAGTCTTTTCTTTCCGAATGTGGAGGCGTGGAAGTGTTTGCATTGACATGCACAAGAACATATTGTTACTCCCCATTGTTAGGTCAACTGGTCAATACGTTAAGTACATTTTTTCAATCTATTTTGATCCACGGTTTGATCACTACTTCCAAAATTTTCAGTAAAGTACCCTGTAATTCTACCAATAACATCATTACTGTTTTGTAACTTGCTCGGTGCTTTATTTTTTAAATTATTTGCTTTGTAGGTTGCTACGGTGGATGCTTGATCCTATGCTTTTAAAGAATGATATATGCCAAATTTTACTAGAGATCACTAGTAGACCTTTCCTTTTCTTGGAAAAGGAATTTTATGAGAAGACAGATTGGATCTCTATTTTAACATGTTTGGTGCTTTCTCCTACAATGTTTATTCAGACAAGAGCTCTACTACATAACTGGTTTCTACTGATGTGAGTTCCCAACATTGTATTATTTTCCCTCCATATAAACAGATCTCGAAATAATAATGTCTTTTGTGATGAACTGTTTTTTCCTGCTAGAATTAAATAACTTATATTCATTCGTTTGATATATACTACCTCCGTTCTTAAATAAATGCAACACTTTGACTTTTACACTATTCACATGTTCTACTTTGACTACGTTTTATTTATTAATGTAATAATATTATTTTATGAAAAAAAAATTGTTAAACTTGTCTCATTGTAAATTTTCATAATCTAATTTTTTTTTAATTTTTTTACTAATACAAAATCATTTATATTAATGGTCAAAGTTGTGTCTCGGCAAGTGTGAAATGTTGACCGTTGCATTTATTTAAGAACGGAGGAAGTATATCTTTGATGTGTTGCACACCATGGACTATACAAACTGCATTGATATCATTTATTTTTGGAATAGTTGATCTAAGGCTTTGGATGGGTTACAAATTTATGGTTCACTTAACAAGTCGGATGAGTAAATTGATATATTGATGTGCTAACAAAACCTGATAGGGTTTGTTATACATAACAGGGGTCTGGCTCCTATCTTAGAGTTTCACACTGAACTAGTCTTGCAAGTACTAGACATTGGTTGCAGACCAATGCGGTGGGGAATACCTATGGAGATTGCAACAACACTTCCATGTTCTCGTGTATACTTTCCTTGTGAAAATCAATTATTGAGAGTACTTTCTGGTCCACTATCCTTGGAAAATTTTAGGCATTTGGTTTGTGAAGTTATAAAACTAGACTGTGCTGTTAACAAGCTTATATCACCTTCCAACCAAGATACAAAGATTTCAAGAGTAGATCTCAATTCTTGTTGGTATGTTTTTTTTGTTCTGTAAGCTAATCACAATACATGAGTCCAACTGTTAATTTGTTTATGTTTGAACTGTTCTATTTCACTGTTCCATTACAGGGCAATGGCAATAAATTTCCCCAGTTGGTTCTCTTTTGCCTCTTTTCTGCTCTTTGTTGATGGGTGCTCTAGAGACAACTATTATTTGAAATGTATACCTTGGTTAAACAAGCCCAACCCATCAAGTGGTACCGATCTACCTTCTTATTCTATTGTTGCTGCAAGGTTTATTGCATGGGTTTTGAACCCTATAGGAGATTCTTTCCAGGAGTTAATAGTTGAGCATTTGACTAAACTTTCACATGCAAGGACTCTCAAAAACTTTTATTCTGGTAAGGGCAATGCAGCCACTGGTGGCAACAATAAGAAAAGTCGGAGATCATTATCTGACATTAAGGGTAACACAAGTTTTTCTGGCTTTGACTACAAAACACTGTGGCTTTGGCTTAAAGAATTTCAAGATATCCATACTAGATACTCCAGAAAAGTTAACGACCATTTTGCATCAACTGAAGCAGACCATTCACAAGGAGTTGGCTGTCAGAAAAATGTTTTATATAGAAAGATTCCGTTGGGTATCTTGCTTAGTTATTGTGATAGTATAAGCGATGTGGAAAGTGAACTGCTTTTGCATTACGCTGCAACTGGTACTCTCGACGATCTGTGTGAACCAAGAGTTGGGAAAAAGCATATGAAGCATAGCCGTGAATTTACACTGACTGAAAAATACCCAATAAATGAAGCTGTAGCAGGAGCCAAAATTGTGTTTCATCTGACTGATGCAACTGAAAGTATTTCAACTAATATGTTTGAGACTGAGGAGAATAGACTAAAGTTTTTGTGCCATGTGAAAGAAAATATTGGTAAATATCTGCTCAAGTGTGTCAAGAGGCTACTGCAACTCAGAGTGGATGATGAATTTAGGCACCAGACCCTGAGCGATCTCTACCTTAGGATGATGAGGTGGAAGCATCAAGGGAAGGACATCTACAGCAGTTACAAGGATTGGGATGATGTCATGGGTGCTGTTAAGTGCGCCTCCTCACCCCCATGTTAAGATTTAAAAAGTTTTTCTTTGCAAAAAGACAGATTTTGAAGTGATGGTAGATTGTCTACCATTTTGGCGAGAACAGATGTTACTCTTTTGTCTAGACTTTTAGTGCTTTGGTTAGAATTAAAGTTGTGTAAAATGCTCTAGGTGGCACACTGGGTCTTGTTGCATAGTCTGGGATTCAAAAGTTATATGATCACATGCTATGAATTTTCAATTTATTTATATAAAATATTAAAATCTCAAACTTACTAAGATATAGACTAAGCCCTCTAGACCACTCTTCTTTTAAACCCCTCAACCCTCCAATTCAAATAAATCCTAAGCAAGAAAAAACCTAGGCACCGTAGAAGCAGTTAACTTGTGTATGGTTCAGGGATTTTGGAGGGGGTGGAGAGGGGGGATTTATTTTTGTTCTAATATTTTTTTTACATTTAGATGGTTGGGAAAAGTGGACATAAAAAAGAATATAGAAGTACACTATTTAAAGTTTTAAACTTATAGTTAGGTTCTAGTCTACGACTCATACATAAAGGTAAACTAGTACAAAAATCACTCCTCCCTCAGCCCTCTACACTTCCACCCAAAATTCCCCAACCAAGCATACCTGTGGTGCAGTGATGCCTAGGTGGGGGCTTTCACAAGTGGCTAGAATCTGATTCGTACTTTGAAAAATAATGTTTATATATAGATAATCTACTATAGTACCATACATGTTTATTGCAATCAATCAAATATGTTGTCCCATTTACACTTATGCACTGTGTGTGAGTGTGTGAATTTATCATTTAAGGACTATATGTGTGCTGTACAAATGACCAAATTACATATCCAAATGGAATTAGCAGCTTCTCCTAAATTTAAAGATGCAGAGAAGCAAAGATAAACATTTCTGCAAATGTTTTCTTCACATGTGACCAACTGATATATGTACTCAGAATGAAATGGTTTTGATTCAACCGGCTCAATTAGTAGGTTCTTCTTACTAAGGAGATCCCAGATGGGTCACCACCCCATTCTTCAAACACAACCACAAGATTTCCAGTTGGTCTCAGCCATGATCGCGGTACGTGATACCTGAAATTAACAAGTTTCATAAAAGAGGATATTTGAACACAACTTGGTTTCTTGCATTCTCTATGTCTTGGAATGGATGAGTATGCTTTTAAGAAAAGTAAATATAAGTTATGCTTTTACCATCTTTGAGATGGTTGTCCACAATTAATCTGACATTTTGTCTCAGTGTAAGTTCCAGCATAGCTACACCCACCACTGCAACTTCCTTGAGCAGTATATGCAGGCCAGTGGCGTCCTACGCCTACTCCATTTATCCATATCTGACCCTTTCCCATACTGCCCATGTCTAAAGCTAATGGATCATTCCCTTTAGGCGTATTGAAGGTGGCCTAGAAAATATCACGACCCGTAGTTGACTAAATTATGATATGCTATTTTACTTCAGACAAGTGATGTAAATTTTAAAGTTGGATTAGCTTTATTTCAGTATGGGTTTACCTTGTACCATGTAAGCGGCTTCCTTTTAGGCAGAAGTGAAGCTTCCCAGTCAACCGAAGAACTCCCCATTATTGTATTAATATTTGCTGATTCTCCTCTAAGACCAACCTGTGCAAATGAACCAAGAGTGAGTGAATTTGCTGAATGAAGGCCAAACGAGAGAAGCTAAAAGATCAAACCTTATATGACCACTTATGCTTTGTCAGGTCTCTTGTTCCCTTATTCAGACCACTTAATGTGACTGGACCAAGAACTCCTGCATTCCATCTCTCAAAATGTGTGCCAACATTCTGAATATAACAACCAAAAGTTACCATGTCTATCAGCTTAACTTAGAACAAAAGTACTTCCTCTCTCCAAAATCAAGTCATGTTTGCAATACTGATTTCAGTATTACTATTTAGAGATAAGGATCAGTTTGTTTACTTTAAAATATTACCTTGCAAAATAGTTTCTAATTTTTGTGTGCTTAGCACATGAAAACACTTTCCGCAACAAGTTATTTTTCTCTGAAACAACGGAACCTTAGTCTTTTTTTGGACGGGAGTTGTAAATAGTAGAAGTTGAACACTGACCGGGAGACCAACAGCAACACTAAGCAGGGAAATCTTGTTAATACCGGCTTTTAGTTTTACATTGCCAGTAAATGTTACTTTTGGGTTGCCTAGTTCCCCATATACAGTTCCTACAAGGAGACAAAAACACTTGTTGAAAGTGAGAAACAAAGATGTGAGAAACAAGAACACAGAGTTGCGTCCTTAAATATGGTTCAAGTTTAAATACCTGAAGATTGACCATTAACAAAAACATGCAACACATGACCAGCAGAACCAACAGTTAAAGTAGGGTACTTCCCATCCTTCAGAAATTCTTCATTGGAAGCAATCTTCACACTAGAGTATTCAAGCAAGCAAGGTCATATCATACTGTTAGATTATGTGCCATGTTAATTTGTTACATTTACAAAGACACTGTTTTTAGAAAAGCTAAGTAGCCAATAGATACATACTCTGTCATGTACCACAAGTAGTCTGAGGAGTCTCTGGTTACATTTAGTTGCTCAAATAAGCGATTAGCTGCTATCATTTCACTGTCACTTGAAGTTGGAGTTTCTTCTATGTATGACTTCCATGAGAATCCTCCCACAACCGGTGTCATCCTGATTTGTGAGCCTCTGGAACTGACCTGCAATTTATATTAAATATTAGGGATGGGATCTGTCCATCAGAAGCATGACTGACTTATTACTCTATTGGTCAAGCCCATTTCTATTCCTCGTAAGTGACCGCTACAACATTCAGAGAGCTCATTTGGGATGACTTTTAAAACAGTAAAAGCACTTCTGCAAGATTTCAAAGCAATATTTTGGTGCTTTTATTGAAAGAAAAGTGACTTTACTAAACTGAAAATCATTGTTTTTAGCATTTTGGTGTAAAAATAAGGCACTAAAATCACACTTATTGTAGAACTTATTTAAAGGTGCTTTGTGGAAGTCATCTCGAATGGGGACTAAATTAGTAACAGATGAACACTCAATAATGTGAATTTTTAGGTGTATTTATGTACAAATTCAGCATAAACAGCTCCTAGCCTTGAATGTAGCCTCTCACTATTACCCTGCCACTACTTTTTATGTTGGATATGTCCTCTTAAAATCCAACAATGAAAATTGAATAGACTAAATGAAGAAAAAGTGGAACAAACAAGCATGGCATGAAGACCATTCTGGTAGCAAAATCGAGTCCTTATTTATTATTACCTTTGCAGTGTTGTAGGCAACATTCTTGCAGTCGGGCAGAATACTAATTGACCAAGGAGGCAAGTTATATTGATTATTCTGAAATGTTACTTTTACTGAATGTTGGGGGTCATAATTGGAAAGAAATGAAGCACACAATCCAGACTTTGAGCGAAACATGTGAGCCTAGAAATCAAAATCAGGAAAAAGTCAGTCCATCTGTACATTAAAAATCCGATTAGAGTAACTATCTGTAGTAGATACAAGAACGTATGGACCTGACCTCTTGGTTTTTTCCAAGCCAGGTCACTGTGGGATATGATGAAACTAAAGCTGGTTCAGCAAGCTTGATCACTTCATGCAAATCTCTCAGGTGAGTGTATTTTGGCTCATTTGGTTGCCCTAATAAGTCATACAGATCAAACCATCATTACAAGCACAAACTGGTTAGGTTGCATCTTTTGCCATTTAGCTGGCCAAATCTATACGAAGCCCCTAAACTTGGCTCTTGGCCACATTGGGCGTCTTTACTTCTATTTGACCTACTAAATGCTCTAGGGAGAAACTTAAGCCCCCACAAACCGTTTCCTGCAGCTTTGTCCCATTCTGGTCATGCCTTAGATGAGGTGTTTAAGGCATGACAGGAACGGGACGGAGATAGAAACATATCTTCCTTCTAAGGAAATGTGCAAATAAGATACAGTTGATACCAATCCACACACGTATGACTACTTGACTAGTCCTTGAATATATATACATTATGCTAATTAATCATTTTCTTGAATTATCATACCGTATTCATCTAGAGGAGCATCATAGTCATAACTAGTAGTTATGAAAAGACCCGCAGCTTCTCGTCCAAAATTTGTCCCTCCATGGTACTGAAGCCACCAGACACAAAATAAGTGCATTGACATTGGTGGGGTTAATAAAAGCGCATTTAAAATGAATAAATGACCAACCATATAATAATTAACAAACGAGCCATTATTCTGGATGAATCTTGCAACTGAAAATGCTATGTCTTCTACAGGTCTCTGTTGAACTGCACCACCAAACTTTGTATACCTGCAGCAGAGTTCAAACATAAGAAATTCGGCCAAGAGAAACAGAGAGAAAGGCGGTGATGATTTTCTCTAGACTTGCCATCCAGTCCAGAGTTCTGTAAACATTTTGGGTTTATATGGTTTATTGGGATGGAAGCCCTCACAGTAGAATCCATTGCATGTATCAATCTGCAAAGTTGTAAATGAGAATGAATCTAAACTGTAGTTCCGTTAATGAATATAGAGGATGAATTGTTGTAACAAGACTAAGAAATGAATCATGTTCAAAGCGCCCTGCAATTTGTACTTGAACTTCTTATGTACATGTTTGTTTAGCTGATTCAATAGTGTTTTTCATTGCTGAAGGGAAACTCTGTTTAGTTTTGCAGCTGTAAATTCAGTTTTTTAATATTCTTCGATTCCCAGTGGATTGTTTTCTATTAGTTGATTATGACAGGTTATTTTTGTTTTCTTTTTTAATATATATATATATATATATATATATATATATATATATATATATATATATATATATATATATATATATATATATATGAGTGCAATTCCCTCAGTCCCAGAGGGTGCACTGATTTTTTCGTAAACAATTTTTGGTAAACTTTCAAAATAAAACTTTCATTGGCGGTTTTATCTTCTTGGAACACCTATTCTTGGAACACCTCCTATGCGGTTTTATCTTCTTGGAAACTTTCAGAATGGCTTTGGTGCACCAAGACTGAAACGAAGTGTTTTTTGTTTGTTCCACAAACACCTCCTATTATGGAGATCATAAAATGCTTTAGTTATAGTCTTATAGATTCCCCCATCTGTTTGTTTTTATAACAAACTTGAGCTCAAAAATTCACAAAAATGTGATCCTTTAGTCTTACTAAAAGAAACCCC